GAGGCTGTTGTGCTTTTTGCCGAGGGACGGTGCGACGCAGCACTTCCTCGGCGTTCGAGCGGCTTCTGTGCAAGACGTCCAGTCGGCGAGGTGCTTCCGAACCTCCGCTATAGCCGAACCGTCCCAGTTTGTAACACCGACCCATACCTTCGACAGACTATCGCCATGACGATCAGCTACAGCCGGGACGTGGCATCGATCAGGTTGTCCAAGTTCGTTCGCCTTCTATTCAAGTGGAAAGGAAGCATATACAGACTGCTGTACAAGGAGTTGATCGTCTTCCTGGCTCTTTATCTGTTCCTCAGCGTTCTCTATCGATTCTGTCTCAATGAGGAAGGATCACGGTGAGTGACCCACTTACTAAGGAATTTCGAGGAACCATCGAATGGGACGTTTTTGTGCCTGATAATCTGATTTCGGTCGTGGATGTCGTGGATCTTAGACTGGTTTATTAAAAATTGACCTTAACTCGGGCCAATCACATTCCCGTGTCCGAAGCGATGAAAATGAAACGCGCCATTCATTCATCTTCTTGCTCTTGGAGCCAAGAACCAGACACTGCCTATAACTTTTAACCAGTCATTGAAGTGCAACCTGCTATCACAGTATGGCTTCTTGAAGCGGGGTAGCTCGATCAGTGTCATTCAGCAGTTTTGAATCTGGGCCCATGGTTTTAACTGTGGCGAATCTGTTGATCAGCAGTTGATAGCACTCGACATAGCCAGATGCACGTATAGCCACGACACCTGCCCGATTCCGTTGACCTCCAATAAGATGCGATCATCGAGGAACTCCACCTCACATATGCAAACAACATTAAACAGACTGTTTCCTCAGTTTAGAAGCTGGACTCAGAGTAGGTTAGTGGCACCAAGAGCCACCTGTTGCGGCACGCGGTGATCGTTACACCGTTACAGATTTTCACAGCAAATAACAAGGATTTTTCCAGGTTTATAATGGTTTCATCATTCGATTATTCGACCATTGTTATTAACAGCCTGTCAATGTCTGGTCGAAACGAAACCTAATTTATCGTTTATTTCATCTATTTATTTCATCATTTATTTATTTTTCCATCTCGGAATTTTATACTAGTAACGGTTTTATTTAGAATATTTGAGTACATAGCCAT